TGTGTGTGTGTGTGTGTGTGTGTGTGTGTGTGTGTTTGCTCTGTGTCTTGCTGAAGCAGAGTGAAAAATCAGGGGTGTGAATCTTAATGACTTTTCCCAGAATGAAGGGTGGATGAAGAAGTCTGGGGAGAATCCCCTCCCTTCATCTTTCTCTCTCCCTGTTGTCTTGTCTTTCTTTCACATATGGACATCTTGTTCATGTTTGCAGGATTTGTCTTCCTTTAGAGTCTGATCATTTATCCAGTGGMCAATCCTGAACTCCATATTTAAAACAATAAGAAGAGTCTAACTGCATCATATTCTAACATGCAGTGCTACTTACAGCAGTATAATGGCCAGCTCTTTTATGTAACCGTATCACGATGGAGAAAGGTTTTCATCATATATTGTAGCTCTGCTTTTSTGTCAGAAAATGTAAACAATTTCTGATTATATTTTGATTTTTACAGGTTTACTATTCTTTACCTTGCTTCTGTAAAAACATGCATTTTAAAAAATTGTTTAGTGTCATTTACTTTTTTGAACTTGTAGAATATAATGTTACTCTGAGACAGTGGGACCGCCTGTTAGTGACCTGACAAGGGTATGTGGGCGGGACTTTCAATTTGACTTCATTTTCTGGACAATTACAATTAATGAAGTCACTTCGATCGTTTAATTTCATGTCAACGACCATAAGGCTGTTAACAAGATTTTACCAGGAGAGTTCAGACCTTTAAGGTGGATGGTTCTGTGAAAAGGTTCAGTTCATTGAAACRTCAGCTTTGGAACTGACCGAGCTCAGACTAGCAGCTTGACAATTCAAAGGAAATTTTTGTTGGAAAAAAAAAAAAAACAAAGCTGTTCAAACTAGAAACATTTACATCACTATCATTTTTGAATTGTGATAATTTCACAATAGAAACATTACAATATTCATGCTGGAAGTGCTACAGCTAGCTGCTGTCGGTGTTTGTGCTTGCAAATATTCAGAAAACTCTGTTAGAACAACCATGTAATGCAAAACTAACTGCATTGTAAAGGCTTAGTCCCAATCACATTGAAATGTTCCAGATTGGTTTTGAAGTCATTCATAAAGCTATCTACAGCAGGTAAGATGATAATTGTTCATAATCCTTTTACAACCCCCTACAAAACACCCACTTTTAAGAAATCTCAAGAATAATGAGTGGGGTAAAAGCCAAGACGATGTATTTCTTTCATGTTTTTTTAAACTCAACATCAGTCCCAAAACAAAAATATATTTATTTCAAACCAGATGCACAGTTAATACCACATTTATATGCAACAGTCTATTTAAATGCAAATCTTGCGTACACCTGCAGAATGTGTCCAACCCAAACCGGGCAGGCTGCGAAATGATGACGACAAACCTGATCATTGATGAACTGCTGGTTCACTCATTCATAATTTACACACTGCCTTGAGGCATCTGAAATGATTTTTTTWATGTTTGCGCTTCCAAATAAAGATAACAAAATACAGATGCACGTAACTGAAAACAACTAATTACTCTTAAATCTTGCATTGCTTTTGCTTTTTATTGCTTCCTAAAATTGAATGCAGGCAGATCTTTTTCAACTTGAGGAGACTCCAGTGAAAGTACTACAATATTATTGTGCAAACTGATGAAGGAGCATCCGTGTCGGCTTCTTGTGCAAACCAACACACTGCCAACATGGAGTTCAGGTGTTTTGATGTGTTTTTTGAGCTGTTATTTYTTCAGATTGGTCACAATGTGACACTTCCACTTTGATATTTTTCCTGTCAGATTCCCTGCCTGAAAGAAATCCTTATGTGGCAAACAAAGTCCTTCTCTCTGTCTCTTCCAAATTCTCTGGAGACYTCAAACCTTCCTTTTACTCTTTCAGTTGCTATGGATACCTCTGGCGAGGCAGCTGATTGGAGGCGGCAATAAACTCTGCTCTTTGAAGTCTTTGACAAAATTGTCAACGAACTGATGATCTAAAAGCTAACGATCTATGTACACAGACATATAGATGAACCAATGCACACACACACGCGCGCACACACACACACACATATGCAGTGATGTTGGCTGTTATGATGACAGGAGAACAGAGATGAATGTAATCTCTTTTAGCACAATCCAAAGCCACTGTCATCATCTATCTGTCCAAGGCAGCAGGGCAGATGAAATGTGTGAAATCAATTTTGCATTTAATTAAGGAGGAGGAGGACAGTCACGGCGGTCCTTCTTCTGAGGTGAGCATGGACGTCCCTGCACGCACGGCCTAGAAGCCTAACTTTGTGGCCTAACGTAAACTAAAGTAACAAAATTTAGTTTAGTTTATTCATTCATTTCTTTAAAAACAGCATAAACTCAACAACAAACAAACAAACAAATACAAATCACAATTTCAATGAAAGGCAGCAGGTACAGTATATCTGCCCCTTTTTCTAAAAAAAAATCAATCAAAAATTATCTAGTTATCTAAAATGCTAACAATTACTGTACATAACAAATGTTAAAAGTGTCATCTAAAAGGTTTGTCTTTCTGGCTMATGTGTAGAAGGAAAGATAAATGTTAAAGAAATATTTTTCAATCATCATCTGTGTACAACCATTTATAACCCAAAAGGTTAGTAGGCTATGTTCACAGAAATATGACTTTATGAACAATTTGTGGGTCCTTATTATCAGACAAACGGTTTAAGCATACAATAAAGTATATTTAAGCATGGCAAAAAGACAAATGCCTAACAGAGTTTTGGGAATAACTATTCATTTAGCTAAAACAACATCAAACAAAATGGGGGTTTAAGAGCTTACCACGTGTTGGCACTGTTGTATTATTMATATAAATCAGTTGAACTCAAATAAAAGTTTAAATCAATGTGCTTTATTGATAAAAATTTTTTAAATGAAGTGCCACACTATGAATTTGGGGTCTTTCCGACTACTGAGCTTTAAGAGAATATGAGGCAGGTAAAAGATGTTAATTATAACATTGTCTAGTTTTTAAAAGTTGCACATTTTCCTATCCAAGGTTAGAATAAATATAAATACTCCCAGGGTTGTTGTTGTTAGTTTGTGTTCACAGCTCAGACGCCCTGTAAAGCAGATTTTTCCCGTCTGAGGAGAGTTTTGGTTCCCTCTACTGGCCCAGCAGAGCAGAGCAGACGATTAAAAATTCTCATTCTGGGCTAAAAAGTAAAAAA